ACACTCACTTGCGGGTGTTCTCGTTCTTGAGCAGGGACTTGGCCTGCTGCTCACTGATGATGGTCGCCTTCACCTGAGGGGGGTTCATGTGCACGTTCAGCTTCCCACCCACCAGCAGGCGCACGGTGGCTGCGAACTTGGTCTGGGTCTTCAGGACCTGAGGAGGTTGCTTCTCGATGATGAATGTGCTGCAGGGGACACAATGACCAGACAGCTGACCAGATGCTGGCTCCGGGGAGAGAGCTGGGAGGCCAGCAAGAGGGGAGGACCTTCCTGTGGGGCCTACTAGGAAGGAGGGGCCTGGATTCTGTTCCCGGGGAGGACATGGGGGACTGGAGACAGATGTGAGGGAGGCTGGACACCAGGGTGTTTCCTGCAGTGTCCCCAATACACACTGGGCCAGGACAGCCACAGCAGCAGAGCTGTTAGAGCCAGAGTGGGTGGGGGAGGGGGAGGAGCAGGACTGGGGCAGAGCTCTGGGTTTGACAGCTCCTGGACCTCCACATGTCCACCCCCAGGAACTGCCATGTCCCTGTGAGCATGGCCGGGAGGCAGCAGTCACCTGGTGACCAGGGCTGAGATGATGTCTGTGATGGTGGCGTTGACCTCGGCCAGCATCTCCTCCACGGGGCCTGGGATGGGCAGCTGCTGGCAGAGGTGCTCAGCCCTGCGGATCTGCTGCCGGTTCTGCCAGATGAGCTCAGCCAGCTTCTCACACCTGCAAGGAGCCCAGGGCCCTCAGAGGGACAGTGGCCTTTGTCCCAGCACAGGCCAGGGGAGGAGGCCACATGACACTCTTCCTCCCTCCCAACAAAGCCACACTCCCTCCCAAGGTGCTGGCATGAGCCACCACTACCCTGCACAGACACAGAGCAGAGTCCCACTTTCCAAACGCAGAGGGCAGACAGGGTGGCCCCAACTTGGAACCAACCAGCTCAAGAGTAGCCCTGCCCATTCCAAGGCACCACTGTCCTTAGGGGAGGTGTCATGGGACTGAGGAGCCAAGTCCCATCAGGAGCCAAGACATTGATAGAGTGAGAGCTGTCACAGACAATGGGAGCCTGCTGCTCGGGCCAACACAGGACAGACGAGGCAGCTGGCACCACTGCGCAAGCCCCTGCCCACCCTGCCCACCTCTCGCCCTCACCAGGACTGCAGCACGTCCAGGCTGCCCTCGGGGGGACCCCCGTTCCCGGCCAGCTGCTGCCGCCTCTTCCACTGGATCAGCTCGTCATCCAGGATGATGGTCTGTTGCTTCCTCAGCAGCTGCAGGGTTTTCTGGTGCTTTTCAGCCAGCTCCTGCATGAGGGAGGGCACAGCAGCCTTCTGGCTTCTGGGGAGCAGCCACAGGCCCTCTCTACCTGCTCCACCTCACATGCACCCCAGGAAAGAGGGGACCTGTTGTCATCTTGGCTCTGTCCCCTTCCTGGTGCCCTGGCTCTCAGGTGACAGAGCTCCCTCCCAGGGGCAGAGGGATGCAGGACCCACTCACCACACGGTACTGCTGCAGTGTCTGTGCCTCTCGCTGCAGCCAGGCCTCCAGGGACACTTGCTTCTGCTGGAGGGCTGTCTCCCGGCTCATGCGCTCCTGGGGGTTCAGCTGGGCCAGCTGGGCAAACTGAGCTGGAGGAGG